CCTGTGAAGTTTGAAGTGTAAAAAAGTGGTCTCACGGGTCTCACGAAAACAAGTTGGTCTCACGTGAACACACACACACACACACACACCAAATCAGTACAAAAAAAAATGAGCTTATGGAAACGGGAAACGTTTATTTTGTTTTAGACTATTTTTAAATGCATATTTTGAATGTATCGGAACTTTTTATTGTTTAGAACATGAACAAATTATCGTTGAATTTTATTTTGCAGTTATAGTTTTATAGTAATTTAACTGAAGTCATGTATCAGCTACAAAATGCACCGTGTGTAATGAAACAATTCTTTACCATAGGGTGCTTTTGGTACACTAGACAGGACATGACAAAACATGACAGAGATCCATGTCCCATGTTTGGCATGCCTTTTATGTGGAACATACATGAACAAAGTGGAACAGACTTGTTCCAACCCTATCCCATGGAACAGGGTGGAACATGCTTTCATTTTACCAATATAACCTCAAAATAAAACTTAATTCTCTTCTAAAACATCAAATATGTCTCATTTTCACATTCTATTCATTCTTTAAATTTTAATTATTGTATTTTATATTTCTTAAACTTTCATTTTACTGTTCTCGAAACATTATTTTTGTACGGTTTCTATATTTTATTGATTTATTATATATTAATAATAAAAAATAAAGTAGAAAAGAGATAAAAATAAAAATTGGAAAGTATATAAACTTTTTATTTGGTGTTATTTTAATTGTTTTGACGAAAACTTTCTACTGATATATTCTGCTAAAAAAATATTTATTCTATTATAATTTAATAAATTACATAAATTAATTAAAATAAACAACTCTTTAGGGTAAATTGGTTATTTTACTTATTCTGTTATGTCCAATTTTATCTTACTAAATGTTGAACAGTTATTCTATTCTGTCATGTCATGTTCTGTTCTATTATATCATGTCTTGTCATGTCCTATCTAGACACCAAACACACCATATATGTCGTTGAGTTTGGCCTTAATAGTAATAAAAAATAAAACACATTTAATTTTTTTTTAAATTACTTAACTATAAGTAAATACAGTTAAAATATAAAATATTTGATATAAGTACTATAGATACATGTCGGTCTATACATAGCTGGTGTTAATGCAAATTGTACACTCCAATTTTAATGCATCATTTATGGATTTAATTATGATTTTTGAAAGGTAAATTATATGAAAAAGTAATGTATTTTAACTTTATTCATATTTTGGGTAATGTATTTTTAAAACTTTTATTTTTGGTACTTAAATGTAAAGTTTTAAACATTTAAGTACCCGAGTAACTGGTTGAATTATTAACCGGTTATTATACTGATGTGGTGAGTGATAAGATGAAATTGAGTTGAATAACAAATAACACTGAGTTGGATATTACATCACTCGCCACATCAGCGTGGTAACCGGTTAATGCTTCAACCGGTTACCCGGGCACTTAAATGTTTAAAGCTTTATATCTTAGGTACCAAAATAAAAGTTTTGAAAGTATGTTACCCAAAATAAAAATCAAGTTAAAGTACGTTGTTTTTTATGCAATTTGCCCTTTTTGAACTTCAAGCATTATTTTTTTAAATTTACTGTTTTAAAACTAAGGGATCTTTCTTTAAACACTTTGTCGAATAATCGTTTATCGGACGTTTGTTTACCTTACTGAGTGAGCATGCATGACAAGGAACAAAAATTTTATCCGTGAATTAACCAAGGATCAAGAATCTTACTCGGTAACTGAAGAAAAAGTTTTTTATCTGATAAACGCTTACCAGTAAAAGTTATTTATTAATAATCAAATTTGATGGACAAGAATGTTACCTTATTAGGCAAGTAGGGTGGTAATTTTGACTTATGTTTTTATTATACTATCTAGAGAGAAATACTTTAATTGTAAACCGATTTTCGGTTGTAAACTGGGGAACAAATGAGAGCGTGACATGTGTTCTTGATGTCCATATAGGAATCAAGTTAAAGTACATTACCCAAAATAAGAATAAAGTTAAAGTACGTTATTTTTCCATGTAATTTATCTTTTTTAAAATTCAAGCATTAGTTTTTAAATTTATTGTTTTAAAACTAAGGGATCGTTTATCGAAGACCCGGGCCCTTTTGTACAAAGAAAAAAACCTTTAGGGGTCGTTTACTAAACGCTTACCCGGTAAGTACTTAGCGGGTAATTTTCCTTACCGGACGAACATGTCAAGGGCCAAAAATCTTACCCGGTAAGAACGAGGATAAGGATGAAAAGTCTTACCCAGTAAGTGAGAGTGACGACTCTTACCATGGTAAGCGTTTACCAGCAAAATTGTTGCATGGAATACGTTTTAATGTACTACAACCTTACTCAGTAAAATAAATTATAGTGTTGACTCCTAACGGTAAGCACTTACCGGGTAAACATTTAGGTAAACAACCCTTTTACTATCTCCGCCATTAATTTATTCCAGTAATAATTCAGTTTTAGAAACTATGTAGTGGTACCCAACAAAACAATACGGTAACTTCCTTCAGAAATGCAATTGTTTCCCCTTATGGCAAAACCATAAAACAGTCACCCATGCCACTGTTTCCTTCTATGTAGGTCTGCCCCCACGGCATGATGGATAAACATATGGCGACGAAAATATAAAAATATAACATACTTTCTTTTTATTCTTATTTTGTGTGACGTACTTTTAAAACATCTATTTTGGTACTTAAAATATGATATTTCAAATATTAATGTATCTGGATAACCTGTTTAATCATTAACAAGTAACTATGATGATGTGGCAAATAACAAGTAACTATGATGATATGGCAAAGTAAAAAATATATTTTATATAAACAAAATCCACATCATCAGCCATGTTAGCAAAGAATGTTAAGTCATATGTCGTGTCCTTTGCCACGTCATTATAATAACATGTTAATGGTTTATTCAGGTACCTAAATGTTTGAAATGTCATATTTTAAGTATTTTAAAAATATGTTACTTAAAATAGGAATAAAAAAAGTATGTTACATTTTCATGCAATTTGCCTTATATAAATAGAAGCTCCAATTAAATTTAAATTGTTTCCAATAATTGCAATATTAGATTCAAAATAACTTAAAAAATATAATTATTTTACAATATATAAATAGACTTTAAATCTCTTGGATTATTTTAATATTTTGAAAATGATATATTTTTAAAAAAAAATATGAATATTTAATTATTTAATAATAATCATTATTTTTTATAAATCAGCTTCAATGTAAAAACCTTTTCAAAACCCTTTTCATCAATTACATTAATAATTTATTTTCATCTATTTAAAATGTATTATAAATACCCGCCATTTAATTTGTCGTTTTAAAGCCCACTTCGTATTTTTCGAAAACAAAATTATTTAACATTAAAATTCAAATATTTAAAAAATAAATACCATAAATAGATTATTTATATATATTTTCTTATAAAATATTTACTTCTATTTAATAAATTAAATTAATTAATAAATATTAAAAAAGAATTAAAATGAAGGAGGTAATGTGAAAATCTAATTGAGACAGTACTATTTGATCAACCACTTCTTGCACGATAAATCTCATCTTATAGAAAATCCTCTCCAATGCTTCAATTCATAATAACAATAAATGTTGTTTGACAGTTGTTGAATGATTTTATGTAGAATTATTAAGTGGTCGGAATGATTAAGAGACTCTCATGATGTGGTGCAAAAATGAAATATAATTGTTTGGTAATTGTTTACAATGGAATTAAGTTTCTTAATGGTTAAGAGAGGCACATGATACAAAATCATTAAGAGGGTTTTAGAATAATTAAGAGACATACTTTTTCTTATCAAACAAAATTCACCTCTTAACGATTCAGATATTGCCTCTTAATGGAACTATTAAGAGGTAAACAAACAACCTCTTAAGTGTTTTAAAAAGCTTGCACCGGAGATGTTCTAAGCGTTCTTATTAACCTTTTCATGTTCATATTACATGATTTAACGTGATTCTAACATAAAATAAAATGCATATCAGATATATATATATATATATATATATTGATTAACCTGGATATCCAATCCGCTATGCGAGCCGACTAATCCTAGGACGACCACCTGCTTTGCAGATAGCCCGGAGTCACCGCATTTGAACCTCCACAGCCACAAAGAGATTTTAATTCCTTCTTGGATTTGAACCTGATACCTCCTGATACTTTTGACCTTTGAAGTCAAGCTCAAATCAATCAGGTATCACCCTTGTGGTTATCAAATATATTTTTGATGTGACGGATTATAAAACTTTGGAAAATGCAATTATTTTTTTATTGCAAGTCAGATCTAAACAGTATCTATAAACTTTAACATCAACAAAGAAAAACCTACCAGATTTAATATTGTAGATCACGAAAATGAGACCAGAAGCCAGACAAAAAATGTAACAAACCAATCAGAAATCGACAGCACATCCCTCCAAAACCACTCTGGTTTTTAGATCATCGAAGCTTTCTTTTACTGAGAGAGTATTCCAACCACACACACATATACCCTCTTTTTCTCTCTCAAATTCTATTCTTCCCCAAACACATATAACAGATTTTCATTCAATGATGGTTTATACACCAAAATAGAAACAAACACATTCGTCTGCTGCTGCTGCTGCTGCTGCTTCTTTGATTCTTCATTTTCTAAGCATATTTAGACATATCAAGAATCTTGTTCTTCTTTTTAGGGTTTTCAGAAGAAACTTCAAAGTTCAGACCAGATCAAGATCAAGACTTCCTTTTGGGGGGTTTCTGAAGCAACCCAAGAAGAAGTTGAAGGTAAAACCGAAGAAATCTTGTTCATCTTTTTAGGGTTTTCTGAAGCTGAAAAGTTCAGATCAAGAATCTTGTTTCTTGTTTCTTTTTAGGGTTTTTGGTGGATACCTAATAAGAAGAAGAAGAAGAAGAAGACGAAGAAGAAGAAGAGAGTTGATTTGGATCAGAATATAATTAAGTGATAAAAGATGGGAAGAGGAAGGGTGCAGTTGAAGAGGATCGAGAACAAGATTAGCAGACAGGTGACATTCTCCAAAAGAAGAACTGGGTTGTTGAAGAAAGCTCATGAGATCTCTGTGTTGTGTGATGCTGATGTTGCTCTCATTGTTTTCTCCACTAAAGGCAAACTCTTTGAGTACGCCACTCACTCCAGGTACATCTTCTCTTTCCATCACACACACACACACACATATATATACATATATATGTATATATATATATAATCTTGTATGAAACAACCACCTCAAACTCACTTGTTAATTAGTTGTTTATAGAGCTTTTCATTTCAGTTTTTGGGGTTTTTTTGGAATAGGCAAAGAAAGATGATTTCAAGGTTTTCAACCCGTGAGTACCAGCTTCAGTTGGTGTTTATGTGTGTGTGTGTATGTTTATCTTTAAGAGTTCCAAGACAAGTTCATAGCTGTTCTTACTCTCTCTCTCTCTCTCTCTCTCTCTTCTGCATGCATCCATTTATGCTTCTAGTTCAAATCTTATGCTCTCTCTCTCCTCTCCAACTTTCTGGTTCCTTAAAATCTTGTTCTTTTTGGGGGTGTTCTCTTTCGTTAGCTGTACTTGTTTTGTTACGAAGGTCCTATCAGTTTTGACATAAAAGCATCTTTATAAGAGATACTATAACTAGGAGTACACATACATATATACATACATATATACATACATACATATATACATACATACATAGATGAGCGATCAAATGAAAACCACTTCAATTTGTAAAAACCGTAAAAACTACTCTCATYMRTCGTTAATCTTATGAAATTTTTTCATGAAATTGTTAATCTTGTGAAATTGTTTCATATAATACTTTTTTTTGATGAAGTTGTTTCATATGTGGTTATGAAATNAATTGTTTCATATACTACTTAATGAAATTTTAATGAAACAGTTTCATGTATTTCTCTAAAATTAAAATAATGAAGATGATAATATCCATGATTAACACCCTCCACAATAAAAATAGTTAATCAACCTCTCATAATTACAAAAAAATGAACAAAATGAAAAATTATGATTGGTTGAATAAGATTTTCACGGTTTTACAAATTGAGTGGTTTTTATTTGAACTCACCCCTATATATATATATATATATATATATAGATAGATAGATAGTACTACCCAAACCTTTATCTTTGGTTGTGTTTTCATGATTTCATCTCTACCACTCGTTTTTTGGAGGGGTGGAAGATTTGAAGGAAAATGTTCAAGACATAAACTTAAAGAACCCACAAGTTTGTACCATTTCAACAAGATTTCATCTTTTTCTTTATATATAAAAGACTCGACGAACGATATCCGAACGAATTCTATTATAATCCAACGATCGAGACACTGACTACCCAATATTTGTTATGATATATATATATATATATATATGTGTTGTATCTATAGTTACATAAATCATGGTTGATTAATTAAGGAATCAAATGATAGATAGGACATAGATCATGATGAACAGGTGAGAGAAAATGAGATTTTCCTAAGAAGACTTTTTGTTCATTAAACGTGTGTTTTTGCGTGTAATATGTTGTGATGTTCGTACACTGCAGCTTTGAATTCGTATATGCATGTATGAAAGAACCTAGTACTCAAAAGCCCCTTGGTTACTGTGGCTGGGTGAACTCCACTTCACTTCCCATAAGAAAAAAGAGAAAAATATGGTAAACATGTTTATTTTCAAGATTATTTTCAAGATTTCTCGCTTTTTGTTAGCGGTATCATGTTTTTTTATCATTTATATTATGTACCAGTTAATTATAATTGATATGCAAACTTTTACATCGTGTCACTGTACCAACTTAACTGGTATCAACTATTTTCAATCGATACATGTTGGTATGTCTTGTACCAACATCGTGAAAGTTTAAGTTACAATCGAACATTCAAATAACATGTTGATATGTATGGTACCATTTTTCCGTACATGTAGTAGGTGAACTCCACTTCACTTCACTTCCCTTCACTTCCCATAAGAAAAAGTATGCTAAACATGTTTATTTCCTAAGATTATCTTCAAGATTTCTCAGTATCTCTTAGGGACGAACATGGTACGGTATCATGTTTTTTTTATTACTTATATCGTGTACTAATCAGTTATAATTGATATGTAAATTTTAACATCGTGTCATGATACCAACTTAACTGGTACCAACTATTTTCAGTCGATACGTGTTGGTATGTCTTGTACCAACATCGCGAAAGTTTAAGTTACCCATTTATTTTTTATATTGATATATTTACCAAGTAGATACACTAAAACAATCGAACATTCAAATAACATGTTGATATGTATAGTACCATTTTTCCATACAGATACAAATATTAATTACCTTCATATAGTTGATAGTAATTTGAAACCTATATTTTCATATTGTTTGTTGTAGTAATTTAAAGTAGATAATACTATGAATTTGAAACCCGTATTTTTATATTGTTTGTGGTAATACAACAAAGTTTGCTTTATAGGACGTCTAGATTATCTAAACGTCTTAATAGAATACTTTATAGAACTTAGGTTTATAGGACCAAACTATAAATGATACTATATATCTAAAGATGTTACAGTAGGTTTATAGGACGTTTTTAGACATTTTAACAAGTCTTTAGAAGCCTTTAAAAGTAAAATGTTCCATTAGTTATTTTACATGACACTTTTGAGAAATGTCCTATGAACCCATCATTTTATAAAACACTTGTCGTTATAAAACATTTTTTCAATTAGTGTCGTATAAAATACTTAATACGACACATTAATTTTAAAGCCCCCTAATATACTTGTTAAAACGTTTAATAACGTCCTATAAACCTATTGTAATGCGTCCAACATTGATTATAATATTAAAAATATTTCATTCATTTATTAAAATATTATTTCTCTCTTTAAATACTTTATTTTCAAAGTATCTCACTTGATAATCATTTTTGGGGTGATTTCCATATTTGAATAAAAAACTTTTCTCTCTCCTTCTTTCTCCATTTTGGAGCAAAATATTGACTCAAAATCCTCATTTTTTCCATTTTAGAGAAGGTGTTGGAGATGCTCTAAATCATTATTTGGTGAAATCAAACGATTAACTGATATTTCCGTTAATTTTTGTTTTGTTGTCGCATTTTGATCTTAAAATATAAATGTTTCGACGTGACAAGTGGTTCGGTTTGTATCAGTATGGAGGCCATTCTTGAAAGGTATGAACGATACTCGTATGCAGAAAAGCTGCTTACTGCACCTGAAACAGAAACACAGGTATGCAATCAAGCTCTTTGAAACCTGTATAATCATCATTTCTTGACCAAAATAAGTGATTTTTTGATGCTATTATGTAAATATAAATGCATAAATAAGAGTTATACGAGATACGTCTTGGTTAAGCTCCCATTTTTACAGAAAAATCCATGTTATGATAGTTTAAAAAATCGGTTATCGTATGTAGTTTCGTGTGTTGTTAGCTCGGTTTTGTAAGAGTAGTTGGATATATAAGAGTGGGATGCGTTATGGAAGGATCGTACGAGTTTATGGTTCACGGGTTTGTCTCAACGGGTCGTAAACTTTGTAAAATGCAAGAGAAATGCTGCATGTAAAATGGTTTTTATGGCTATGATGAAACTGTGAAGACTTGGTGCACCAGAAAGTGTTAATCTTGTTTGTTTCTTGTGTGCAGGGAAGCTGGACTCTTGAGTCATCAAAGCTCAGGGCTAAGATTGAGGTCCTAGAAAAGAACATAAGGTTTGTGTCTACATATACATATACATATACATATACATATACATATACATATACATATACATATACATATACATATACATATACATATACATATACATATANACATATACATATACATATACATATACATATACATATACATATACATATACATATACATATACATATACATATACATATACATATACATATACATATATGCTTTTAAGCCATTTCATTCTGGCTATGGAGAACTGCTGAGTATGTTTTGAGTTCATCCGAAACGTGAAAGCTTTCAAGCCAATGAACCTGTTCGTGATCGAGTTTGGTCTGGTTTCTTAAATGGTGCAATTAGTCTTTTTTCATTGTAAAGTTGAATCACTTTAGTCAAACAAGTGATTATTCCCTGCAACTTGGATTTATAGGACACCCCCAATCTCTAAGTGTCCCAATAGACCGCTTTATAAGACTTAATATATAGGACCAAATAGAACAAGTTTATATGACGCTTTTGGGTATCTTAACAAGTTTTGTAGGACATTTTTAGTACAAAGTATCGGATTAACAACTTTATAGGACACTTTTGAGAAAGTGTCCTATAAAATCGATGTATTATAAGACATTTGTTTGTATAATTTTTTTTTTCAAATAATGTCCTATAAAGTTACTAACGGGACACTTTATATTAAAAGTGTCATAAAAAACTTATTACGACGTCAAAAAATGTCATATAAACTTATTACAACATCTTTAGATAAGATACTTTTTTTTTCTATAAGCTAAGTCATATAAAGAGGTCTATTAGGACACTTAGAAATCGGGAGTGTCCTATAAATCCGATTTTATTGTAAAGAATCATCATGTTTTCTTTTGATTACAGTCTGTAAAGAATCATCATGTTTTCTTTTGATTACAAATAAATTTTACCAAGTCGATTACTATAGAACAAGATTAACAGGCTCGTTTCAATACGAACAATTTGATTCTATTCGGTTCGACCCATGAGTCCATGAACCGTAAGTATTTTTCAACATGATGAAATCTCAAATATCTGAAAGCAAACCCGAAATGTTTGGTTCATATATATACATATACATGTTAGAGTCCACATCTGTTAGATTTGGACCATTTCTCCTAAATATATGTCGGTACCTCCTTTCTCTCCTCAAAAGCTCGTTTGGAAAGTAATCTAACGAGGTTCCACGTATTCTAACAAGGTCTAGGGCTTGTACTGATATTATAATTTGAAAATATCGTTTAGGCACTATGTTGGGGAAGATCTCGAGCCGTTGAACCTTCGAGAGCTTCAAAGTGTAGAACAACAACTTGAGACCGCTCTTAAACGAATTCGAACAAGGAAGGTATGCCCTCCAATCCATATCCAATGTTTATGGTTTTTTGCTTGGTTCCTGCAGTGTTCTACTCAACAAACCCTAAATTTCCATGCAGAATCAAGTCATGCATGAGTCCATCTCAGAACTTCATAAAAAGGTATTTCACAAACCCTTATACATACCTACATACATAATATTACATATACCTATGTGTATATATACATATATAGAGAGAGAGAGAGTTTGTTAAAAATGCAACTCATCACATTTGTACAAACCAATACAACCCAATAAATTGAAATATTTATGAAAATTATGAGAGTTTATTTATTATGATTTAAATATGTATGAATATTTAAATAAGGTTCATTAATTATGATTAATACTTTATATTAGAAAACAATCAAAACTTCTATGAAATTACGTATTTATCAAATGAATGGACGGTTGAGATTGAGTTGTATTGGTTATACAAATGTAAATGATTGTATAATAACTCACCCCCCTCTATATATATATATATATATATATGTATGTATGTATGTGTAGTTTTTTTTTTCAAAGGGATGAGCAGATGAGCAACTGATAGAAGTTACCTTTTTAATCATTAAAAAGGTTATGGATTTTACAGGAACCTATTTTTACAACTCTCTAAATTTTGAGATCTTTAATGAGTGCATTATGTGTTATTTTATATGGTGTTTTTTTTTCTGTGGCTATGATTTAATGTAATGATTTAATATATATTTGTTTCACAACGTGCATTTTTTTGGCGCATTTGTGAAACAAAAAATACATGGAAAGGAATTCCATATTGTGAACCTAATACATATAAAACAAACGCATTATAAAATAAATATATGTTAATCAATAATTAAATATTATACTTATATGGAAAAAATCAAGTGAAACAAAAACCTTAAGGTAATATTCTCAGGGATCTCACAAATTTAAGAGTTCTTAAATTATTGTCCCGGATCTAAGAGTAGAACAAGGTTAAGGAATTTAAAATGAAAGATTTACAAGACGATGGATAGAAATCGACTGCTTTCTTTATTGAATGGAAAATACAATCTCTCAAAACCCTAATCGACTCTCATGTGAAGATGTGTGTTTTCTGTGTATTTTGATATGTTTCAAAAATCACTTCTATTCTATGCCTATATCAACTTTTATATAGGCGATATTTACACGGTAACTGAATTCTATAAATATGGAAATAATCGTTGTCGAAAATAGGATCAGCTCCATCCTTCTAGATTTAGTCTGCATGCACTTGGCTGCTCTGAATGTAGTTGTCTAGAGCATCACTACAACAAAATCGGGTTTATAGGACACTCCCAATTTTTAAACGTCCTAATAGACCTATTTATAGGACTTAATTTATATGACCAAAAAAATAAAGTGTCATATCTAAAGGTGTTGTAATAAGTTTATATGATGTTTTTTTACGTCGTAATAAGTTTTTTAGGACATTTTTAATATAAAACGTCTCATTAGCAACTTTATAGGACACTATTTGAAAAATTGTCCTATAAAAACAAGTATCCTATAAAAAAATGAGTTTATAAGACACTTTTATAAAGTTGCTAATGCGACACTTTGTATTAAAAATGTCATTAAAAACTTGCTAAGACACCAAAAAGCGTCATATAAACTTATTACAACACTTTTAGATATGATGTTTTATATTTTGGTCCATTAAATTAAGTCTTATAAAACGGTCTATTGAGACGCTTAGAGATTGAGGTGTCCTTAATAAACTTATTTTTGTTGTAGTGCATGGACCAACCAGAGGAGTAGCTCATACAGAGGATCTCTGTATATATGGAAGACCCAGAGGCTCTGCATGTACTATGCAGAGCCTTTGTGTCAGTGCTCTGTATCTGGGAACTTCGCGTTTAAGCTTAGGCGCATGTCTTTGGTCTTCTTGTCCTCTGTATTCGAGTACCCGAGCTCTGGTCGTCTGGAGAGTCTCTATGTGCTCTTCCAGACATAGTCATTTTAGCTTGGCAGATCTTTGAATTTTCCATAATTAGCTCAGATTGCTTAACAAAACTTTTAGAGTAATTATGATCAATTTTGGTCCTAACATAAATGATGAGCCCATATATATATATATATATATATATATATAGAGAGAGAGAGAGAGAGAGAGATCATGTGAAATTCTCACGATTCTCACAAATTTTGGAGTTCTCAAAATGATTAACCCTCCCACACACACACATGTATATATATATATATATATATAGAGAGAGAGAGAGAGAGAGATGATCATTTGTTAATCAAACAAATAGTGTTAACTTTACAAACCTCTTTGGACTTATCATAAACCATCCATAGTCCTCGTTAATTCGCATATTGGAATCAATAATTAAAGGTATATATGTAATTTTCAGTTTTTAGTTTTCTTTAATGGATTGTTACATTAAACAGTTGCATGATTTTAGGGATGCTAATAATATTATCACTTTCAAGTTTGTCAACTAATTGTTCCTAAGCTCAATCATGTGTTCATAACGAAACTAATGTGTTCATAAGTAAAACCATGTGTTCATCAATGGACCACAACAGCAAAATCATATGTTCATAGGTGAAACAACGAATATGTTCACAAGTGAAAATGAACAATAATGAAACAGTGAATGCGTTCATAACTGAATGATGTTCATCAATGAACAGTTTTTGAAATCCCAGTATGTTAGCAAATACAATCATTTTGTTCATTATTGAACCAAGATGCGAATTCAACGATGCGCTCAAATCAGTTCACTTCCTCCATGAACAGTTCTTGAAATTCCGGTTGGTTACCAACATGATGTCATCTTTTACATCCCAATTTTATCAACATGTTCATAAGTTACATCACAAATTTCCATGTTTAATGGAGTAACTATCAGTAACAGAAAATTGATGCCTAAACGAGGTCTCTGTGATCTTTTTTAAAATTACCCATGTTTTTATGTTTAACATGCACCAGTTTTTACTTTATTACAAAACTGTCACTGATCAATCTGTAAATTACACAAATTAAAGTCTAAGATTGTTTCACATAGTTAACACCAATTTTTCTTGGTTAACAATATGTAGAAAGAAAAGACTACGGGGCCGTTTACCTAAACACTTACCTGGTAAGCACTTAGCAGTAAAATTCAACGTTATCGCTTACTTACCTGGTAAGATTTTAGTCTACCAAAACGACATCGTATGTAACAACTTATCCAATAAGCGCTAACCGTTGTAAGAATTGTCGCTATCACTTACCGGGTAAGACCCTCGTCTTTGCCTTCGCTCTTGCCGGGTAAGATTCTTGGTCTTTGTCATATTCATCCAGTGAGGTAATGTGACTTGGTAAGTACTTACCCAAGTAAGCATTTGGTAAACGACCCCTATCTCCTAAAGGTTGAAAAATCAAGAAATCTTGATGACACAGGATCCAAGTCTCTGGTTGACCATCTATTTTGGGTTTTTTTTTTTTTTCTTTTTCTATGACAGGAGAGAGCACTGCAAGAGCAAAACAATTCACTCTCTAAGAAGGTACCTCCATTGCAATTGTTCTGTAACTTTGTTGATCAACACTCTATAGTTTAGTAACGTTGGGTTACGGTGAGAAGGAAAGTTACGGTGAGAAAGGTAAAAGAGATCTCCACCCTTGGATCAATCATAATTGAATGTCAACACTAATGAGGTGCACAGCCCTTCTAAAACGTAATTCATGGGTGGGCATGAGATTAAAAGTAATCAAGAGTTCATATCTTTTCTTACACTTCTCACCATAACTTCACTTCTCATACTGTCCTTCGGCTAGTTTAGTAATATGTCTAAAATGTTTTAAGAACAACATTCAGGCAATAGATGACCATGGTTAATTGTATGTGTATCTTAATCTGGACACAGTTGAAGGCGAATGAGAAGAACGGTGACCAACGAAATGCAGGGTTTCAGTTACCTCAGTCTCAGCCACCACCACCACCACCGCCACCGCCACCGCCGCCACCACCACCACCACATCATTTAGCTCCTCTTACATTCGGGAGGTACACTCTCTCTTGTTCACTGCAACAAATTCTAACTTTTATACACGATATAACGAACTGTTTTATAAAACTTAAGTTTATAGTCGTGCGTCCTATATAAAAGTGTTGCTTAGGATTTTAGGACGTATTTGGACATCCTAACAATTTTTATGGCACTTTTTGAAATATTTTTTGTAGTACAATCTTGAGTATATGACATTGTTATAGACAGAGGGGCGGATCTAGCCCATAAGGACCGGGGGAAAGACCCCCAGTCAAAGACTAAAAACGTTTGTTGACTAGCTTAAATTTTCTATTTTTACCCTCGTCTTACATGGTTTCCACCCAGTCCCATATGGCCATATGCTTGCCTCCCTCAAGTCTCATCCAACGTGCCCCCATCGCATTAATTTCTTGGATTCGCCATTGTATAGACACATTTCAAATAATGTTATATAAAAATAATAATATGACATTCTATTCCAAAATTGTTCTAAAAGGTGTCAGGACAACGCTTTTGGGTGTCTTACGTCGGCTAGACTTGGATTCTCCTCATCCACATATGTTGGAACCTCATTTTTGTCCGATGCTCTTTCAGAGAGTAATCTAATGAGATTCCACATATTTTCACATGGTATCAGAGATAGCCTATCACTCTAGCTAGGGACTCGACACTCGGTCACTACTAAGATGGACAACTTTTATCTACAAAATTTTCCCTGGAGAATCCGTCACTAAAAGGGTGATTCATCACAAAAGTTGGTGGGAAACTCAAATCAGTGATAGATTACCCAGGTTTTTTCTTGAAAAACATTGGATTCTACAGGAACTATTAAGACATTTAGACATATTTAACGTTATGTTTTTGTTACAGTGGTTTACGTTTGTTTTAAACCGAAAACATTTGGTTTTGAATTGCAGTGGATCGTTCCAAGGAGCAGCAGTGATGAGGGATGATGAATCAATTCAAGCTCATACGAACATGTCTGCTTCGATGATGCCGCCATGGCTACTTCGTCACATTAACCAATAAATTAATTAATTATCGACATTAATTAATTATTAAATTAATCAAACTATGTTGATATATATATAATTAAACTCTCATAATTAATCATGTCTGGATTCCAACCATAATGTTATGTTCAATCAAGAACTGCTATAAATTATCAATCTCATTGTTTCTACCACTATATACATACATATACACACACACACACACATATATATATATATATATGTATAGATCCGTTCATAAACCCAAGTTTTTTTAAGGGGTGTTTGGGATTGCTTATAAAAACAACGTATTGACTTATTCTGGTGTGACACTGATAATAAACACTTTTGAGTGTTCGGGTAAAGAGTTTATACGTGGTAATAAGAAGTTTTTGAAGAAATTAATTCATTCTAACTTATAATAAGTTGATGAACACTTTTGTAGAAAAGTATAAGTTGTTTCAAATAAGCAATCCTAAACACCCCTTACTGATGGTGAAGTTGAAAGTGATGAACGAGACGCCATCTAATTTTAGGGGGGAGGAAGGGTTTTGCTAAAAAAACGAAAAACAATTGGAAAAAAAGGAGCAAGATGGCATATTTACCCTCGTGTTGAAGGCACATGGAGGCGGTTAACGGTTGATTCTAACGGCGTGACTTACAGGGACGAAAACCGAAATGATCTGGAAACCACTATGACGACTTTCGTAGTTTAAAAACCACAGGGACGAAAATAGTAGTTTACTCATAAAAAATACAACAGATGTGTAATATAAAAATAAAAGAAAAAAATTTAACCACAAGGGTGGTGCATGATTGGTTTGAACTTGACTCTAAAGATCAAAAGTATCAGGAGGTCTCACGTTTAAATCCAAGGAGGAATAAAAATCCTCTTATGGCCACGGAGGTTCAAATGCGGTGACTTCAGGCTATCTGCAAAGCAAGTGGTCGCTTGGAGATTAGTCGGCTCGCATAACGGGTTGGATACCCAGGTTAATAAAAAAAAATGTTGTAACTAAAATTTATTTATCATCCTCAATATTCTTCGAGTTAGTAGTCACGAGTTGTAGCTTTCCAAAGTTTACAGAATGAAAATATAACAAGACATAATGAAACGCAACGGTTTTTTTATGGTTTCCGATGACGGATATTATCCCCTCATCATATACATCATGAAGTTACGGTTTTCGTTATCACAAACTATATTGATTTTGTTAAATACAAGTATAATAGGAGTATGAGTGTTCAAAAATCCGACCAATCCGATCAGTCTAATCCAACCTAATGTGAAATAACTTAACTTGAAACAACTTGATGTGTAGTCGAGTTGTAAAATCTTTAAACCATAGGTATTGAGTTGATATCGAGTTGGTACCTTTATTTGAACACAACTCATCCCAATAAATCCAATATCTTTTTATTTTTTGGATTTAATATGATTGTTGAATTTCTGTTAATATGCACATTAGACAATTACACTATCGCTTACCTTCTTTATATACATATATTTTCAATCTCTATATAACTCCTTTATATACATGTTCAATACTTGCGAACATATATATATATATATATATATATATATATATATATATATATATATAGAGGGTGGTTCAAATACTAACCCAATATTTTGTGCAAACTTTGTTAACCCACATCAACCAATAATGTTGCATCTTTGGGTTT